CACACACACACACACACACACACACACACACACACACACACACACACACACACACTCCAGCCTACCCCACTGACCTGCTTTCTAAACACAGCAGATACACATAATGTTCTCTCTGCCTTGTTCTTTCTCTTTTCCTTCTTCGTTTTGACTCAAACACACACACACACACACACAGATGAGTGGGTGAAGTGTGGAGAGGTCTTGTGGGTGCTCATCACACACACTTGACAGAAGCAGTGCTCTTGGCAGGGAGGAGCTACATGATATATGAAGATGGCCACTTTGAGCCTGCCACGCACACACACACATGTGCTCCTCACAGGGGCCCCTGCCCTCCAACAAGCTCTTGAGACTCTGATGGTGACATATATGGAGCGCATGCAGACTGAAGCCTTTTAAATATTCATGTCTCGTCTGTGTGCCAGCAAATAGCCGTGTGCATCGCAGACAAAATGGGCATGCTTGTGCATGTGTGTGCATCCATACATTTGCACACATACATCAGTCCAGGCTCACGGGTGGGTACAGGTAGGCTGCATATTGGTAGATGATTGAATATTTACTGTGCAGTGATGGATACTCTGCAAACGTTTTGAAATTGAATCGCCGTCAGCTGGCAATCCTTTCTTAACATCTAGTCTTGATTGAAAAATTGCTGTGCCAACATCAGAGACAATACCTCGCCATCTGCTGGAAGTCCTTCTTTGGAGAGTCTAACGAGTGAAAGTTTGCGTACAAGAATTGTTATTTATTGTTCAAAACAAAGCATTTTACCTTGGGAGACGAGGAAGAAACTCATGAAAAGAAGCAGATTCAAACTGACTTAAATGCAAGGATGATACACACATAAACACATAGTGGGTGGAAAAGAAACAATCAGTTCATCATGGGAACCCTGAGTAGCCTCGGTCCATTGCAATGCAACGAGGGGCAGGGATAGCTCAGTAGATAGCGTGGTCACCCCGTGATCAGAAGGTCGGGGGTTTGAATCCACTGATTCACGGCTGCCCACTGCTTCACTGCATAAATGTGTCAAATGCAGAGAGAAGCATCTCATACCAGTTGTCAGTGTGGTGGTAGAGGGTGATGATTTGAGTTTGTTTTACAGCTACAGAACCTGGGCACCTTGTAGTCACTGAGCTGCTCGTGAAGTCCTCTGTATACCGAAGAGTCTAATATGAGGCCATCTGTCTGACAGGTCTGATAATGGCCCCAAGCAAAGCAAGAAATCCACAACTGAATGGCTGAAAGAGTAAATAACCAAAGTCTTGCAATGTCCCAGTTAAAGTGCGGACCTCAACCTGATTAAAAAGCCTGTGGGACCTTTAGAGAGCTGTGCATAAATCAGTGCTGTCATACATCAGTGAACTGATGTGTGCCAAAAAAATAAAAACAAAACAAGGACCCTTGCAATTGCAGGTATTGTTGCAAAAATACAAGTGTTGGAGGTTTTTTTTGCCTTGTAGTACGACTGCTTTTTGAAGAATTAATATCACTGTCTTAGAAGTGTTTGCTGGGTATCTATTGTCCTACATTTCATCTGTAAAACTTTTCAAGCTGAGTTTCTCAGACCCACTGTACATAGAACCATGTAGTTAACCTTGGAAAGTAAGGGAGAGTTTGCATTCTTCACACTGACAGACTTTATTTCTCTGAAATTAAAGCCATAAATGAAATCTATTGCATTATTTCGGTCCTAACAATGCCCCCGGTGTTAACATTTTATATCTGCCTTTTTGGTTGCTTACTTGTTGCTGTGGGCGTCCAATGTGTTATTACCCCAGTGCATCATGTCATTCTGCCAGATGCCACTAGCAAAGTTGTGTTTCGCGCTGGTACATCGATGGATGCCATGATAATTTTGGACACTGAGAAATATCATTTAAGGTTTAAGGAGTGAGAATCCTATAATGTTATACCAATATGCCATTTACAAGTATTCATACGTGTTGAGGAAATAGTTAGGTGTAAAGTTGTGGTCAGAAGTTTACTTGCACTAATTACGGAAATGAATGTCATGATAATTTTGGGCTTTTATTGATTTCTTTAAACTGTTCTTCTTCCAGTGTGGAATGACTACACAACATATCTTTAATGACTTTAAAATATAAGACTTTGGTGAGGTTTGAATTTAATTTGGATTTTCTCCAACCCACACAGGGTCAAAATTATAAGTACAGGTTCAAATATATACATGACTGAACCTTGACCCAGTGCTTTTGGTAATCATCAACAAACTTCTGGCATAATTTAGGATATTTGGATATTTGACCACTATTCTTGGTAGAATTTGTATAGTTTATTTAAATTGTTTGGTTTAAGCGTAGTCCACAAATTTTCATTAGACTTCAGGTTGGGGTTTGGGATCATTGTCCTATTCAAGCAACTTTTTCCAAGTTAGCTGCTGATCTGAGGTGAAGTTGAAGAATTTGGAGGTAGTTCTGCCTTATTATTCCATCCACTATATGCAATGTACCACATATGTACCACTGGCAACAAAACAGCCTTTTACTTAGGTATGGTTATTTGAACCGATGATCTTGGAATCTGCAGTTTCTCAGAAATGGTTCAAAGAGACCTTCCCAATTTGTGTAAATATACAATTATCCTTAGATCTTCACTGAGTTCCTTGGAACTTTCCCATTGTTCTGAGAACTGTCCAAATCCAGTCAGTGCTGTCAAACAAATCCTTTTTATGCTACTCCAAAGAGAAACTACCAGCTGTAGTCATGCTCACGAACAAAGCGTTAAAAGCCCTTGTCAGGTTTAAAGACATTGCAGAACCTTCGGCATCACAAAAGATTTGTGAGACCCTTTGACCCTGTTAATCCAAAATAAACTCAAAGTAAATTCAAAGTTTTTGGTTTTTAAATACATATGCTGTCATTTGAACCTGAAAAAAGACATTTCGAAGAAAGCCCAGTTTTACCATGACATCCATGTACATGATGAAGATATGTGCATTTCTAATCACAAATCTACATCACTTTTACTTTAACCTGCTGTAGTGCATCACAGTGTTACAGCAATGCACAACTTGAGCCTGTGAAATGCTAGCAGCTTTGACAGAACAGCAATATAAGACAACCTGGGAATGAGGACCTTGCATAGCAATGAGCCATCTCTGTTCTTCAAGCATTCTAACAATCTGCCGTGCTCTAACACATCGCTGAAATAAAACAGCTGCCCGCTTTGAATTTAAATGCCTGTACATGTCCTGTTCTCCAAACCACCTTTAATCCATTCGGGTCTTTTGTAAGACACCGTTTTAATGAAAGCTTTCGCCCCTAGCTCTGTTCAATGCCGTAATGTATGTTCAAGTGTCTAGGCCTATTTGCCGTTATAACACTTAAATCTAATCAGGGGATAGGCCACTTTTAGAGTGTTTGGAGAAACCACTTGTGCCCACAGGCAATCAA